TGATCTGCAAATCTCGTGTTATTAACAGTCTGCTATCAGCTCATTAAAGAACCATGTGGAAATCTTGCCAGCTGCACTAAATAGAGCTTTGCAATTCCTGCCCATGGAACAGAACATGGATGTGATACCCAGCCGCGCAGCGGCCAGCTGCTGTCCAAGTATTTTCACCTGATTTTGTGCTTCCCCCATCGTCCATTCTAAATACTGGATAACCTCCAGTGTACACAAAATAATTTTAAGGTAACTTTAAATGCCGCTAAAGCTTTCAAAGGAATGGACTATTTTAATTCATCCTGATAAACAGTATTGATGGAGCACCTTTTAAAATTACTGGCTGCAGAGCTCAAATAGTAAAAGAGAGTCTATGAGTTATAAAATGAGAGGATACTAGACAATCTCTTTTAAGTACGACTTCAAAACAATTCTTATTCTTAAGATAAAGTACTGATTGACAAGCAGTACAGTGGCTGAACTCCATCACTATTCCAGGTAGGCTGATGATTCCAAAAAGGAACCAACCCATGAAAATTCTTCTCTGCTTACATACAATGTGACTCTCTCCTCCACCTTTTAACCATTTGTGAGATATTCTATGAATTATTTATCAGAGTTCTGCTCAAAAGAGATTAAAAGCAAGGGGCAAGAGCAATATCAAGGGGCCACTCACAGGCCTTTTCATTAGTCTATGCTGAATCAAAACGAAGTAAGAACATCAGAAGCTACATTTCTGTCCAATCTGCATAATTCAACTCAAAATCTTAGAAATTATTCTGCATTCATTTCTAAAGCTATAGTAAAAATGGGATTTTGCTTCATGTTAGTTTGGACATACCAATTTACATACACAAAACCTGTATTTTAAATGACACAATTTTGTTATTTTTGAACAAACTCTCAAATTATGCATTGGATTTTCTTGGTCTTAGCCCTCAACACCTAACATTTAACATTACTTAACATTTTAATCCACAAAGGTCAGGCAAACACTAGATATTCCTTTAATGTTACATTTTCATTAACACTGTGCGAACTGATGCTCGCACCAACGCATGCACACTCTCCATTTAAGAGTGGCCACTCAGTGATTTAACTTTCATAATAACTTTGGAATAATGCTATTAAGTAGTCATTACATTTCAACACACAACAGATCATATTTCTTTTCAATCAAGGGTTCTTCCATTTATCAGATTTGCAGAAAATTAAATGCCATTAATAGACCTCTCTTTAGTTGAAGAATCACTTTTCCATTGGATTAGCAAATTTTATATTGTGTTAAGCCAACAAAAGCATTAGTTGTGTTCATCTACCTATGTCCTATCCTTTTCTAATATTCTTTGTCATGTGTGCTGAGATGCATAATTTAACATTCATTTTCTAGAGAATAATGAATTAGACTTTTGTGGGCATATTAAGTCACCGTAATATTTACCCGATAAATGCTGCTTTATTAATAAGCACTTAGCTGTATGCTGGCATGGATCTCAAATGAAATCATTTTTCCAGCATGTGCCACCCGGTTCCACAGTACTAGATGGATCCAGGATTGCTCTGCTGCTGTGGGCAGAGCTACAAGGGCAGTGCTCTCATTGTGGCCACCCAAATGGCCTCGTGTGTTGTGCTGGGCCTCGGCTTCTGCACCAAACATGGTCAAGGCCCAGGTTGCTGCGAGGGTTAACTGCTACTCCCAATTGTAGAAAGTAGCCTGTTAAGGTCTTCAGACCACCTAGAAAAAATAATTGGCAATTAAAGTGTTGGGAAATTCTAAGTGGTTCCGTTGCTGCTGGACTTGATCCAAGCACGACTGAAATCACTCAAGGCTCCCCCAATGATTCAGGCTAAATAACACCCTAAAAATAAATCCTATTCAAGCACAGGCCTGCATATGTGTTCAGTATTTTACACATCTGTAACTACTAAGAACAGTTAGTTGGTACTGCTCATCAAGATTATTTTTAGTGCATATCCCTGCTAAATAGTTAATTTCATAATCTGATGTTCCACTTTCCTATGTCAGTTATCTCTGCATAAACACCACTAAACTGTTCACAAATAAAATGTACAGCAAGCCTAAAAGAGTTTTTGATACTTCTTCCAAAACTCAAAAGACAATGTAAATATTGGTCAATTTACAAGACCAACAAAATAATTAGATATTGGCACTCCAACAATAAACCAGCATATCTAACACAGCTGGTGATGACATTTATGAGAACCAGGATGCAAAAAAAAGTCCAGCACTGTTCCCTGGGTGCTTTTCTATTCTCTTTGCCTTTCTCATCTTTCCCTGTCCTGCTTCCAAAACAGAGTGAAGGGACATGTCTACAATGAAAGGCTTTAACTCAGTGGTGATGAGGGATTCTCCATGACCACATCTTGTGTCTTACTGCTCTTAGCTGTATTAAGTGCTGGTGCTTTCACTCGGAATAAGCATTACATTCTGCAACATTTCTTTCCAGAACTGTGGAAGAACTGCTTTAAAAGAGGGAACTTAGGGAAAAACTGGGGCCTAACAGAAGTTCTGGCATTACAGAAGCTTGCTTGGAGTGAGAGACTGTTGTCACTTGCAGGATGGTTGGTGCAGGGACTCTGCTCCTGCATGGTTCCCTGGGGGTTCCTCAACAGGAGATATATGAGGAGATGTCCAGTACTGAGCCAGCAAGGGTAGCAAATCGCTCCTTTTCAATGAACTTTGCTTGAACTTTGCTCGAACTCTGCTCATTCTGAGCTCATTATAATGTGAACACACACTTCCACCCCAAAAGTTACCAGCCTCTGAGGTACGACTGCTCCTCACTGAATATGTGCTCTACATTTTCCATTGACTGTACGTTTAAATGAGAGCGAAAAACTTTTTCACCAATCAATCAGAACAGTAAGTATGACTGTGGTCACTCAAGCTCCACCGGCATGTAAAGAAAAAGGATAAAAGGTGAACTAAGGAGGAAAGAAGTAGGAGGGCAGAATCCCTCGTAACTTCTGGCTCAGTCAAGAGGCTGAACCCCATCTCCTGCCCTCAGGTCAGGACGCTGCCTGAGGAGGCTGCTCAAGACCGAGAGCCTCCAGAGGTATCTAAAAACATCAGAGGTACATCAGGTACACCAGAGGTATCTAAAAACCCCACGCTGTTGTAAAGAATTTCCTGTATTGACATCTAAAACCTGCTTTGTGAATGCTGCATTTGACTCAGTCATGCTATGTGTGAACTCAACGGCTTGTTCGGAAGGTGATCGGACCTACGGTCAACAGCCTGTTCATGAAACTGGTATTGCCAGAGTCGAGCCTACAGCTACCACAGTATTTGATATCTATTAAGGGGTGAGTCCAGCTGCCCCCAGTCCCTCTAATCTTTGAGGATCAACTGGAACACAAGCGGGTTCATCTCTTACCAAATCAGTCCCTCCTTCAAACTGCAACAAGGACCAAATGACCTTTTTTTTTTTTTTTTTGATACCAGTTACACTAGGCCTGCCTGGGTAGTCTCTGTCAAACATTAATGCTTCAAGGTCATTGCTTTAGAGAATCTTTTTACCTCGAGAAAATGGAAAAGCGTGACCTACTTTTAAATACTCATATGCTGACACTGCTTTCAAATGAGCAGCTAATTCATAAGATTAATGGCAGAACTAACTAGTTTAATGGGATGTAGCACTGACTTATCCTGAGTTGAATGAAAACAAAACAAACAACAGCAACAAAGGCCCAACATCCTCCACACACATGCAAAGAGGAGGTAAGTGTTACTGGATAAAGCAGGTGAGCTATGCACTAACGAAACAGCCCTGAACCCTGTTATTCCAAAATGCTCATTTCTAGCTTCCCCATAATTATTCTTGGGCATAATTTGGCAGACTGGCAGCATTTGTCTCCTCCTTCCATTACCGAGTCTGCCATCGAAGCCCTATGTGTCACCTCCAGAGCAGCTTTGCCCAGGTTACCACAGCACCTCTCCTGACCTCAAGACAAGGACAAATCAAAAACACTGCTTATGACATAAACAACATTCTCCTTTTGCTGCAAAATCGCCCTTCAAAACAAATCAGTGCTTTGATCGTTGGGTGCCACTTCTATAGGGACTCTTGTGATTTATGCAAAGTTGTAATTGCAGCATATTTACATTGAGGCCCGCGTCAACAACAGTGTCACTGCAGAAGCATGGCAGAAACTCTATTAATTGCTCAAGAATTTACCCAGAGCCTCAGGCACATTCTGCAGCCTGGTTGAGCCCTATTCTCCTAGATTGCCTTCTTAGCAATTAACCCAATTAAGCTCACTTAAAGTTAGCTCATGCGTGTCTACAAGTGCTAATAATGTTTTGGTGGTGGAACGGGCACTTGGTGTTAGGCACCTATAGTGCAATGTCTTTCAGTGAGATTTTAGTTGCTCTGAAAAGGCTTCCCAAAACTGGGACTGGTAACTTTCTGGATCTACAGGGAGTATCAGAACCTACAGCTATCCATTTCTGGGAGATTAAGCCCCAGGCAGTGGATGACAGGCTTCATAAGCTATTGAGAAGTAGGTGAAAAAATTGGGAGAAGAAATTAAAGTGGGATTGCATCAGGGAGTGCAACCACAACTACAGGCATAAATCCTATGACTACCAGCAATAATACAGGACCCAGTTACTCATTACAGTTTGCCACAATAAAAGAGGACAACTACTGTAGCAGGTTGTTCAGAGAGAGAGGAAGGGACACTGGCAAATTAAACTTTTTCAGACCTTCAAACAAGCGTGACACTTTTCCTGTAGCTCAGTCTAACCAATACAGTATTCAGCAGTTGTTTGAATTCAGGATATCCTTCAAACTACTCTACATTATTATGGCTCTCTCTACATTAGGAAATTAAAGATGTCCTGAAGCAGACACAGGTAACATGCCATCAAACAGCCCAAACCCTCGCACCAGGACAGCGTGGCCACATTCAAAACATCTGGTGGGAAACAGTTCCTGACCCACAGTAACTTTGAGCTCTGACTGTTTCTGCAGGGTGCTACTTACCATCTTCAAAGCCCTTGAGCTGTTCCAGCAAGTTAGCAGGCAACTGGATGCTAGTGCACACGCATATTCCATGTCCGTCTCTGTTAAGCTGAGTCTGTGTCCCAGAGATCAGCTCCAGCAGGAGGTCTAAGGGCAGAGCACTACTTGGAAACACATAACAGACAGAACCTGTGTTTCAGATCTCATGCAGTTAAGAGCTTCTTATTCTAATTGAACACTGATATCACCTATAGTTTGAGTATCTAGATGCTATTGTGAAAATTGCATTTTTCCATTTAAAAAGATACCTTTCTCTTTGGATATTCAGAGCTCTGTCTAACTGCTTTGGAATATTCAAATACTCATCTTGCCGTCTTCAGCAGAGACACTGAACAGGCAGTTTCAGTTTGACAGCAAGTGTAAGTCATCAGAGCCCTGTCAAATTCACGATGCTCATCTTGAGCTATAACTGACCCTACTGCCAGTTTGACCATTATTTCCCAGCTGTGTGCTTCCCTCTTAGCCTCAGTGTAATAAATGCACTTGAAAAGGAAGATGCTCTAGCTGACAAGGCCAGGATTGCCCTAGAGTTACAAAGCACCTGCTAAGAATAACGACACAACTTCCATGTAATGCCCAGAGGAATTTTTAGCTGATATGATAAACTGATTGCAATGGTTTTACAATTAACAAACACTATCAACTGAGAGCTCTGCATCTAGACTCCCCACGTCAAAGTCACTTTGGGTCTATAAATACCCCCTTCTCAAATGCACCGCTCTCAAGGTAGAATCAAAGTCATTCTCTGGTTCCAGGCTACCTTCTCTATTTATTCTTCTGTCTGCACGGTCACATCTCTATGAGAGAATTAATTTATTATGAAGCATTACTCCAAAGACCGTTTGGCCTTTTTGCATCTGAAAACAAAAACTGTATGGCTGTTAGATAGGAGAATCGCTATAAGAAGATAATATGAATCAAGCTACGGTTTCAACTATGAGCAAAGTAGTATAATCTATCATTCTGAAATCAATTCTTAAATTACTTTTATACTTGAGATTTCTGCAGCTCATGGACTTTTCTGACTGAATTTCTGCAAACATCTTCAAGTTTAACCTGCCTTACGCACCTAACCTAATGAACTTAGCCCTTCTAAAGAGAAGTGCACAAGCTACTAAAGGCCAGCACATCCAAAGAGAACACTGCAATTTCGGTATAAAAGCATTCAAATAATTAAATCCAAGTGCAAAGCAAAACTTAGGACTAATAAAATAAGAATGGAATAAGACTGGAGTTTTTTCTGTTCTTTTTTTTTTCCTTTGGTGTAAGAATCCATTTTAAGAAAAATCCTTGTTATTAAAGTGGAAAGCTCTGTATCATAATGAAACAGACCACTGAACCTTGTTCTATATATACATTTATCAAATTAAAAATATCTTTAAAAGATAACATTTCTTTGTGGTTACCCCACAGAAGTGGGAAAAGATATTACAAAGATACATAGTATTATGTTGCTAGTATCATGAAGTTACCCCATATTAAAAAAGTTTAAAGTTTAGTATAGTAACTAAAGACGAACCATTTGACAATATGTAATTTAAGTTTAAAATGTCGTTTTTCAAAGAAAGAAAAAATCTTTCTGGAACAGAGGAATATGACAGGCTGGCATTTCACAGCAACCCATCTATCTGACCAGAAAGCACTAGAACAATTTGTGTCCCTATATAACAAGCAGCACAGTGAGGCAGTTAGGCCAAATGTAGCTGTATCTGCTGTCTTACAGATGCTTTTTAATGTGTCATTTTTAATAAAAATGTTAGTGGGGAATGAGGGGGAGGAAGTAGTAACGTTCCTTGGATGTTGGTCCAGGATTTGAAACACTGATTATATGAAATTAAACAACAGAATGCATCTTATACAACAACAGAAAAACAACCTTGTTTTGTAAAACTTTGAGCACCAAGCAGAACTCTATGAAATTAAACCACTTATTTAAATAGGCAGATATTTTTCTGCGTTAATGATTTGGGCCCAACCCTCACTATAGTGGAGCTGACAGCACTAAAGGCCAAGTGGTTACGTAAGGAACATTTCTCTTAAATGGCAACTCAGGAAGGGCTGCGAAGCGTCTCCACGTAACTGAAATATTAATCTGTATTTTCATACAGCTCTCCATTTCCATGGTAACCATTAGAGAAGGGTTTTCACCCTGAGGGAATTTTTCTTTCACAGTAGCCCTGACCTGAGGAGAGGCCGCCACTGGGGCAGCACTGCCTACTTGTTGCTGAAAGCCAAGGAAACCCGAGGACAGGGATAACGGGGATAACTCGAGGAGCGGCTGCATCCACCTAGGACAGACCTGGTGCTGCTGAGGTGCAAAGTGACAGCGATGGGCACAGCTCCGAGAGGTTAACCCTGCAGCCCCTTGAGGTTAAGCCTGCAGCCCCTTTCACTTCCCTGTGCCGGAAAAGGCCACCACTGGAAACAGGTCCGGACCAGCCAGATTTGCTTCGTATGTAAGAAATGATACTAGAGGTACAGAATGTCAAACGGAGTGTCAGAAAATAGAAAGAAGTGATTCCATAGGAGAAATATCACATGAATAACTTGACTGATAACACCTGATAGGAGCCTACAGCCCTTTTCTGATCATCACCTCATTCAGAATGACTTTGTACCGAGTCTAAGGATGGAGAGAGCCATTTCCATGGCCTCAAGGGTCTAATCTAACACCCACATCAGCATTTCAGAATACTGTATTAAATGTTCAGGCTTCTTAGCCAGTGAATAAGAAAAGTGAGATGCCCCACAACCAAACTAGGCCTAAATTATTCACGGGGTAGAGAGGCACCAAACAGGTTTTGATCTTCCCTCTATCACTTTGTAAAGCTCAGTTAAACTTAACTTATAGTTTGAACCACCAGCTCTTGTACTGAACAGTCTGCAGCAGGGACCTTTCTCACCAGAACCAGCACCATTCCCTACACTCGTTGCACGTCCAGGATCAGTCATCATGTTGCCACTTTTCCATTTCCGAAATAACATTCCTGTCCCTGAAGAGACCAGGTATCACAGTCTCCTTGTGAAATCCATCTGATCAATCCCTGCATGGTGAGCCTGTTATTACTTTTCCCCAATGTGTCATTTTTCATTTCTCACATTATTTATCACTGTTCTATTATCTTCATGATTTCTATTTCATAAAACCTTAGTGACCTGGACTGAAATATACAGCACAAATCTCTAAGAGAGAAGACTGAAACCAAGCACGGGTTTCAATTCCAAGTAAGTAATATGACCCAAAACTATCCTGATGACACTAAGAAACAGTGAGCAACCATGATATATATATATATATATATAAATAAATTTATAAATATACTATATACTATATACTATATATAGTATATATGTATTTTTTAATATATATAGTAATCACTACATATAGAAGCTGACAAAAAACATGACATATAGACTTACAGAATACAAAATGTATATAGCAAAAAGTTTACTTGGCATTATTTGGAAACGGCTTAAACAGCATAGTATTTGACACATATGTCATTAAACAAAAAACATATATTTGTATATTTTTATGTTTTCAGTGGATTTGAAGTTGAGACATGAATATAAAAATATTGTATATTTCTATATTAGCAAATATGCTACATACTAGGTGCTTTTACAATGAACAGTAAAAAGATGCTTTTCAGAAAAAGATGGTTCTAAAGTAAACAAATTGCTGGGTGAGAAGAGCTACAGAAGTTTCCTAGCTATATATTCTGTGCTCCACTACAACAAAAAATAGATCTGCCAGGCTCTTTCCTTAAAGATGCCACCTACTCCTGAAATACTTCCCAGTTGTCATCCCAACTCCTGAAAGCTTTCCAAGCTTTCGTCCTGAAAGCCCTCACATGCTGAATTACTAGCACAGCAAGAGGCTCTTCCAGGCTACCTACTGCCGCTGCCAGCAGAGCAAATCAGACAGACAGTGATTCTATTCTGCTGATCCCTGCCTAAGCATTTCCAGTAGCAAATCTGATCCATTTGGTTCATCAGACACGCTAGAAGAAAGCACTGCTAATTAAAGCCAGTTATATACAGAAATACAGAAATATATATAGAATACAGAAATGTGTATGTGCTAGAGCAGTGTTTTAAGACTCTGCACAAACCAGTGCAGAGTCTGCACTCCCATTTTCTGAGGCCAACCTTCACTATTCCCTATGGAACATAAATTCCAAGTGCAAGTCCCAAGCATACTCAGATTGAAGGGGGAATGAAAATATCGGAGCAACAGGAGATTTAACCCATAATCCTATTATTCTATTAAGAAGAGAAAGCAAATAATAATTAAGGGATCCTTCTCCACTGGACAGCTCAGAGCAAGGCGGGCTATTATGCTGACATCCTTAGAGCTGCATTGGGAAGCACATGTACTTGGGAGGAGGAACTCCATCTCCTGTCATTTATGTAAAAGGTTACTGAATTCCTGTCCATTAGTTTGCTACAACCAGCAAACTATCAGCAAACTACCAACTCATCAAGAAAGAAAAGATGCCAGCAACAGTTACAGCACAACACTATGACAAAATAATAATTTTGTTGTATTTAATGACTATAGAAATATTAACCAAATAAAATTACCATACAAAATATTAACCAAATAAAATTACCATACAAAATGCTATCTCAGATCTGCTAACCTGTCTGATTTACAAAGATGGTATTGGCAGGTAATAATCACTAGCACTAACACAGGGACTTGTCTACAATAAAGCAACCCCAGTCCCCAGTCTCTTATCACACAGGGTCACCTGGCCGGGATGTCCAGGTACCTCCAGCTGCCTTCCCTGCTTGGTCAATTGGTTCATCCAAGAGACCTTTGCTTTTTGATAGAAATTCAAAGCACAATACTGAGAAAATACTTCAATATTACAGTCCCTCAAAATCCACATGAATAACAAAAAAAAAAAAGAAGAAGAAAAAAAGATTTTGTAGACACAATAAACATTAAAAATGTCACAAGAACACAGAACAACCTTGCCTCCTCACTGCCTCAGGCTGATTTAGAGCAGGTAAATGTCTTTATCCATCCTTGTTTGCTCTCCAAGCTACAATACAGGATTA